TATCAACTTGCATAGTTGGCTCAATTACAGGAATTGTTATTTTTGTACAAATTCTAAATCTGAGAGTAGTGTTCCATGGTTTTCTAAATTTCTGCTACTTCAGACATAGTAAGTTGATGGCACCCAGATGGTTGGTAACTACCTTGCCTCGTCATACATTAAACTAACCCACCACTGGTGTTGGGTGAAACATTATTTAATATCAGAATGTGTAGTTGCCATGTTGACCATTGCATATATGACAAAAGCAAAAAAATTATGGATTTTGTCTTCATTTAAAGTGTGATAAAACCTGATGATTTAGAAGGAAGTTTGGTGTTATGGAGGGAGATACAAATAAACCATTTGGATTGGATACCAATCTTGTTTTATTAACTTTGTAGGATTAAGGTGCAGTTCATGTTAAAATTATGTGATGCCCTTATAAATGTGACCACAACTTGTTGAGAAACTTGTAGCACTTTGTTCAGTGCAGCTCATGTTCGCTTGTCCCCACATGATATAATTTGTATGTGTATACAGTTTATGAACCACTCATTACAAATTATTAATTGGTTGATTACTGGACAGAATAGGTTTCATTTCTCAAGTGCAGAAAGTCTTTGCACATGTGTTTGTAAAAACATTTTATCACATAAGTGTACTATAGTTAAGAAACTAAAAAAAATGAGAGAAAATAATACCCATTTTTTCTTGCCTTAAAATGTGCTTAATGTGTTATTTTGCCTACACTTGGTAGATCTGAACCTGCTACACTATGCAATGTTAATATCTCTTAATCCCTTCACTATCTTAAGCAACCATGTTGGTACAGAAAGGAAAGTAATATGTCTGGTGAATTTAACTTTACTATAATGAAAAAAAAGTGCCAGTGAATTAGATAATAAGTTCTTCCTCTGTGGTTTTTATGAAGGCTTCCATGTTATTGCATAGTACTCTTTTTCCAACTCGACATTGCAACTGTAGCAGGCAAGGAAAGACAATAAATAAGAATAAGAAAAAGAATACAACATTTGACGAAATCCCTGTTTTTAGTGTTCTCTGCCTCGGTTCCATCAGAGTGAGGAGATAGATTGCCAGTAGAAGGTACTTTTTTACTTTTTTCATAACTGCAGCTATTAAAAGAAAATGACAATGTTAAACATGCTGCCTTGAGATGTGTTCCTAATGTAACAAAAATAAACAACAGTAGCACTGAACTTTTCTTTCATTTATTTAGAAACTTTGTTCATGGGAAACGACTCTCCACTGGCCTTGATTTACAAGTATTAATTTTTAATATATTTGTATTTTATGAATGTCTATATATTTCATATACATCCATACCTATGAATCAGAGATTTTGGCTTTATATATAGTCTACCTATATATGAAATATATATATATAACATATCTCAAATCAATACTTCAAATATGTACATAATTGTATATAGACTTAAATATAGAGGTAAACACATGCACACAGTGGTACACATACACTCACACATTAGTATATTTAATGTTAATGCTGTCAGAGGGGTACGAGTCTGAATTCTAGTAAAACCAAGGAACTGATAGAGAGATACCGTAGAATTGTTTTACCTGAACATTCTAAAATGTTATTGGAGTTCAGATGACTTTGTTAATTATATCAAGACCTTTTGAGTGTTACTCTTTGAATTAAAACTGAGAATCATGCCGCTTAACATCTCCCAAGAATATTTATGAGGTAGATAATTTTCTTTATTCTGCTCCTCTCTGAGTGTTATTCTACTGCATGGGATGTTTGCGGCAGATTGTCACGTTTAAGTCAGTTGATCATGCATATAACCCTGTCGAAGCTCATTTTACCAGACCTGGATTTAGACACTGGGTATTGCAGAGATGTTGGTGCTACATCATTTTTATCATTTCTGTATAAACTTGTTAATGATACTTCACACCTTGTCTATGATATTTTTTTTGCCAAAGTTTTATCATCCACACAGTCACTAGGGTTTCCAATGCAAATCCCAAGACATTTAAAAAAAAAATTGATGCTCAGAAAGATAATTTATTTCATTTTATTTTTTTTTTTTTTTTATTTACTTATTACTTTTTTTTACTGCTACATGTAGTCTCTTGAATAATTTGATCTCGAAGGTTGTCACTCCATCAACTTAAGTAATGATTTTTTTTGAGAGAATCAAAGCCTTTGGTACAGAAATGTTTTAATATTATTATTATTGCAGAAATGTTTTAATATTTTGTTTTATAGATATAGCTGTGTCTTGAACTGCAGTGACCCCTTCTGGTGGTGTAATTTTTGATTTATCAGTGTGAATCTTTACATTCTTTTTAAAATTATTATGATATGATCATGATTAGACTAATAACAATAACACTAAGAATGATAATGTTGAGAAGAATGATAATGATTATGATAATGATAATGATATTAATAATGATAATGATGATGATGATAATAATAATGACTAATAGTAATGACGATAATAATAATAAAGATAATAACAATGATAATGATAATAATAGTAATAATGACATTAATGATGATGATAATAATAATAGTAATAATAATAATAATAATAATAATAATAATAATATTAATAATAATAATAATAATAATAAAGATAAAGATATCATTAATGTTAATAATTATAATGTTGATAAGGACAATGATGATCATGATAACTGATAATAGCAAGTCATGATAATGAATATAATTATGTATAAACATACAAATGAAAAAGGGGGAAATGTATTTATTAGCAACAAAAATGTATAAGTGATTAACCTGAATATGACAAAGTGGTAACAATGTAATGTGGTTTGAAATAAAAGTTGATTTCAGAATGTGAAATTATATCATTTCAAATTTATAGTGCAAAAGATATAAACACTACATCAGATTATGCTTAAAGGGAGTTTTCTCTGTCTTTCTTTTTCTCTTTCTCTTTTCCTTTGTCTTTCTCTCTTTCTTTTTCTCTTTCTCTTTTCCTTTGTCTTTCTCTCTTTCTCTTTTCCACTGTCTTTCTCTCTTTCTTTTCTCTTTCTTTCTCTTTCTTTCTCTTTCCCTTTGTCTTTCTTTCTCTTTTCCTTTGTCTTTCTTTCTCTCTTTATCTTTGCCATTGTCTTTATTTCTCTTTCTCTTTCCCTTTGTCTTTCTTTTTTCTTTTTCTTGTTCTCTTACCCTTTGTCTTTCTTTTTTCTTTTTCTTGTTCTCTTACCCTTTGTCTTTCTTTTTCTCTTTCCCTTTGTCTGTCTTTCTCTCTTTCTTTTTCTTTTTCCCTTCCCATGTCTTTCTTTCTGTTTTTCTCTTTCTCTTTCCCTTTGTCATTTTCTCTCTCTCTCTCTCTCTCTCTCTCTCTCTCTCTCTCTCTCTCTCTCTCTCTCTCTCTCTCTCTCTCTCTCTCTCTCTCTCTCTCTCTCTCTCTCTCTCTCTCTCTCTCTCTCTCTCTCTCTCTCTGCCTTTATCTCTTTTTTCCCTTGGTATACGTTTTCCATATATATTTATACATTTACATTCCCTCAGTAGGAAAGTGAACAATAAAGAAAAATTAATCTATGCTACTTAAATTTTATAGCATTTGCACAAACAATCCCCTTCTTGGTATATGTCGAGAAAAACAGAAAAAAATATAACAATTTTTGCTATGAGATCTGTAATAATAACATTACCATAATCAAAATTTGTTGGGTAGAGTTAGAAAGAGGAACTCCTTTTTTTCTTCTTATTCTTTCTTCTTCTTCTTCATCTTTTTCTTTCTTTCTTTTCTTCTTTCTCTCTATTCTTTCTTTTCTCTTTCTCTTTCTTTTTCTTCTTTTTTTTTTTTTTTTGGCATAGGGTACAGACACAAGAAAAAAATGGAAATCATTGGCACGTATTCAGTAACGTGGATTAAAGTGAGATATAAACAACAATACAAGATCGGAAATACGAATAGGCTTAGATTCCTCCTCTGTCTAATTAAGATCGAAATAGACTGTTGTTTCCATTAATCAATTAATTAATCTATTTATTTAATTATTGTATGAAAGTAGCATAGCTCAGTGGTAGAGTGCTGGCTTTGCAATCGCGTGGTCCTGTGGGTTCGCGCCCGGCTGCTCCTCTCAGTCGACTCAGCTGTGAATGAGCGCTGGTATGCTGACGTCAGCATGCTGGGGTCAAAGTCGGGGCGGAAAGGAACTGGCCACCCGACCGCATCATCCCGAGACTTAGTAAGCATGTTTCTCTAGAAAAACATGGCCCTTACATGCAGATGGATGTGGGACCAACTTTGAACTTTTGAGACATGTTTGCTTCCTCTCCTTGATAAAGATTCTAAAATTTGATTCCATATTGTAAAGAGAATCTGGTGATTTATGATCCTTAATTTCCCATTTTTAACGAATAGCATCTAATTCCAGTTTAAGGAGAATCTATACGTATATGGCATTTTCATCCTCGGCAACCCTCCCTCCTTTTTATTATATAGAAAATAAAGGAAAGAGTTGATTAGAGGTACATATTTATGTTTATTCAATCACACACACACACACACACACACACACACACACACACATACACAAACACAGACACACACACAAATACACAACACACACACAACAACACATCACACAACATACAGACACACGCCACACATACATACGACACACACACACACCATATGAACACACACACACACATGCAGACAAACACACACACATGCAGACAAACACACAACACAACATACACACATTTTTTAAAAGCATAGTCAATTTCCACAGAAAATGATACTGAATTTTACTATCTTTTCATTCAAATGTTCAAAATATCATTATCTGCTTATGCCCTCCCATCAATAAAAAAAAGAAAGAGAGAGAGAGAGAGAGAGAGAGAGAGAGAGAGAGAGAGAGAGAGAGAGAGAGAGAGAGAGAGAGAGAGAGAGAGAGAAGAGAGAGAGAGAGAGAGAGAGAGAGAGAGAGAGAGAGGAGAGAGAGAAGAAGAAGAAGAAAAAAAGGGGATTAAACAACAACAATGCGAATTTTTTACACTTGTTTATTGTACACAACACAACATCAATAAGCTCATTTCCTTATCAAAGATTAAAAAAATACCAGTGTAAATAATTATCCTTGTTTCATCTAGTCTAGTGACTCAAAAGTGACACTCGTCCACAGAAAAGTGTATTCCATTAAATTCTGCAAAAAAATGTGCTCAATTCTTTTTAGGTTTTCAAAATACATAATATATGTTAGGGGATACATGCAGTTTTGGAAAGCGAAAAAGGTAAGCCATTCTATGCAGATAATTATGAATATTAAAGATAAAAAAAACAAGAGAACATCACCATGTCATAAGGGAGACAAAAACCTTAAAAACTAATAAATCTTAAGAGCTAAAGTAGACATATTTCCTTATCCTTAAAATACAAATTATCTTTAAATAGAACAAAAAAGGTGCTGAGTAAAGGGATGAAAATAATAAAAAAAGGATAAAAAAAATGGCAGTGTTTTTTTTGGAATCTCGCTTGAAGAAGGAGCTCCGTCGGGGGTGGTGGGGTGGGGGTGGGGGTCTTATACCATGTTCAGAGATTCTTCTTTTTCGTTCGCTGAAATGAGAAAAAATATGGGTTATTATCATTAATATTATCAATATTTTTATCTTTCGCTAAAATGAGAAAATATATGGGTTATTATTATTATTATCACCATCAATATAATTTTTTTTTTCGTTTTCTTTCGCTCTCTCTCCCTTTATTATCTTTTCTTTTTTTCCCTCTTTTCTGCTTCTCTCTCTGTCTTTCCCCTTCTTTTTCTCTTTCTCCCATATTCTATCTCTCCCTCTCTCTCCCTTTCTTTCTCTCTCTCCCTCACTCACTTCGCGAGCATATGCTTAGTACTGACTGGGTTACTTATGAGACCAAGGGAAACACACTTTTCGCTGAACCTCTGAAGACCTCAGTCCCCTTTATTAAATACCTGAACATAAATGTCATCAGCTACCGACGTGATGCTGTACAGGTTTCCTAACTCTGTGTTGAGATTGCAGAGTACGTAAGTATATTACACAGTGTAGGTGACAGCACTTACCCTTGTGGAGTGTCTAATTCTAATTCGTTGTAAGCACTTGGAAGCGCCTTGGTACCACTCTCTTGCTCTTCTCATAGACAGATCATCTTTTATCTTATCCTCTTCCCTGTCTCTCCTCCTTTCCCTCCCCTTTCTCCCTCTTCTCTCTCTCCCATTCCTCCTCCCTCCTCCCTCCACCTCCCTCTCTCCCCTTCTTCCTACCTCACCCCTCTCCTCCCTCTCTCCATTCCTCCTCCCTTTCCCTCTCTCTCTCCTTCCCTGCTCCTATCTCCCCCACTCTCTCTCCCTCTCCTCCCCTTCCCTCCTCCTACTCCCCCCCCCATCCCTCCCTCTCCTCCCTTCCAAACTCCTCCCTCCCTCCTCTCTCACTCCATTCCTCCTCCCTCCCTCCCATTCCTCCTCCCTCTCTCCTCCTCCTCCAGCCTCCCCCACCCACCCTCTCTATCCCTCTCCCCCATCCCTCTCTCCCTCTCCCCCAATCACTCACCTGCTCGGCGGATCTGCACCTTGGCCGCAGCCCTAGCCTCGCCCTCGGAGTTGGTGGCCACGCAGGAGTAGGTCCCAACGGTGTCCTTCTTAATACGCATGATCTGGACCCATCCCGTGGCCATGAACTTCTCGGGGCCACCGCGGACCTGGACGGCTAGGGAAGACATGTCACCTGCGGAAATGAATATTAGGATTATTGACAGGAAAGGGAATGAAGAGAGAATATAGAAACAACAGGAACAATTGTGAAAATAAACAGCACAGTTTTTCATAGTGTGTGTGTGTGTGTGTGTGTGTGTGTGTGTGTGTGTGTGTGTGTGTGTGTGTGTGTGTGTGTGTGTGTGTGTGTGTGGTGTGTGTGTATGTGTGTGTGTGTGTGTGTGTGTGTGTATGTGTGTGTTGTGTGTGTGTGTGTGTGTGTGTGTGTGTGTATGTGTGTGTGTGTGTGTGTGTGTTTTTGCGCAGCAAGGAATATTTTGATGATTACTGACAAGAAAAGGGAATGAAGAAAGACAAGAAAAAACAACAGGAACAATTGTAATAACAAACAGCAGAGTTTTTCATAATTTGCCTTTTTTTGTCTATCAGTTGACGTCCGTGTCTATCTACTGACGTTTTTTTTTTTTAAATTATTTATTTTTTATTTATTTGTCTTGTTAGCTATCTCTTTGTGTATGTATGTATACATCGTTGTCTATCTAATGTTCTTTTTTCATTTTGTGTGTGTGTGTGTGTGTGTGTGTGTGTGTGTGTGTGTGTGTGTGTGTGTGTGTGTGTGTGTGTGTGTGTGTGTGTGTGTGTGTGTGTTGTGTGTGTGCGTGCGTACATGCGTGCGTCTGTGTGTGTGTTGATGCTGATGATGCAAACGCTGGTGTTGGTACAATCAACAATGACACAAATAGTGTTATTAACAAAATTGCTGAAAAGTATGAAATTAACAACCATAATATTGATAATACTACAGGTACTGCCTTTCGCTTATTCACAATCATCATGATAATATCACCCTCCTCCTCCTCCTCTCCGCCCCTCCTCCTCTCCTCCTCCCCCTTCCCCTCCTCCCTCCTCCATCTCCTTTTCCTATTTCTCCTTCACCCCTACATCCTCCATGTACTACTTTTCCTCCTCTTTCTTCTCCTTCTCTACCTCCACTTCCTTTTCCATTCCTCTCTCTCTATTCCCTCTGCCACCCCGCCTCCATCCTCCATCTCCATTTCCCCTTCCTCTTCTTCCCCCTTCCACCTCTCCTACCTCTTACCTCCTCCTCCTCCTCCTCCACCTCCCCTACCTTCTCCTTTCTCCCCCTCCTTCCCTTTCTTTCCCTCTATCTTCAACCTCTACCTCCTCCTCCACCTCCCCCCTCCCCTCAACTTCCACATCCCCCTCCTCCTCCTCCTCCACCCCCCTCCCCCTTAACCTCCTCCTCCCCTCCCCCTCCTACCTACCTTCTCCTTATCCCCCTTCTCCACCTCCTCCTCCACTAACCCCCTCCTCGTTCCTCTCCCCTCCTCCTCCACCTCTACCTCTCCTTATCCCCCTCCTCCTCCACCACCTGCACCACCTACCTTCCTTCCCCCTCCCCCTCCACCTCCCCCTCCTCCTCCCCTCCCCTCTCCCTCAACCTCCTCCTCCTCCTCCTCCTCCACCTCCACCTCCTCCTCCACCTTCCCCCTAATCCCTCCCCCTCTCGTCCACCTTCCCCTCCTCCCTTCTTCCTCTCCCCTCCTCCTCCTCCTCTCCTCCCCTCCTCCTCCTCCCCCTCAACCTCCTCCTCCTCCTCCACCTCCCCCTCTCCCTCAACCTCCTCCTCCTCCTCCCCTCCCCCTCCTCCACCTCCTCCTCCTCCACCTCCCCCTCCCCCTCCTCCCTTCCTTCCCCTCCTCCTCTTCCCCCTCCCCTCCCCTCCCCCTCACCTGGCAGCTTGAAGGACGATCCATCCTCAAGGTTGAGCTCCCACGTGACGTCGGGCACAGGGTAACCTTTGACCTCGCAGTCCAGAACCAGGATGCTGCCCTCGGGTCGCTCGGCGTCTTCGGGCGCTGACACGATCACGGGCGCTGTGGGCGGGGTCGAAAGGGTGGGCGGCGTGAGACGGGTGGGCGTGTGTGGGCGTGAGTTAAATTTCTCTTTTGAATTATATTGGGTTTGTTCGTTTGTTTGTTTTTATGAAATATCATTTATTATAACATTATTATTATTATTATTTTATTATTATCATTATTAATAATATTATATTATTATTATCATCATTATCATTATCACCCTTATCATCATCATCATATTATTATTATTATTATTATTCATTATTATTATTATTATTTATTATTATCATTATTATTATTATTATTATTTTATCATTATCATTATCATTATCATTATTATTAATACTAATATTATTATTATTATCCTTATTGTTTATTATTGTCTTTCTGTACAATTTATATCGATCGATTTTTATCAACAGGTATCATATGTACAAGAGAGAGAGAGAGAGAGAGAGAGAGAGAGAGAGAGAGAGAGAGAGAGAGAGAGCAGAGAGAGAGAGAGAGAGAGAGAGAAAGAGAGAGAGTAGAGAGAAAGAGAGAGAGAGAGAGAAGAGGAGATTGAGAGAGAGAGGAGAGAGAAGAGAGAGAGAGAGAAGAGAAGAGAGAGAGAGAGAGAAGATGAGGGAGAGAGAGAGAGAGAGAGAGAGAGAGAGAGAGAGAGAGAGAGAGAGAGAGGAGAGAGAGAGAGAGAGAGAGAGAGAGAGAGAGGAGAGAGAGAGCGAGAGAGAGCAGAGAGAGAGAGAGAGAGAGAGACGGAGAGAGAGAGAGAGAGAGAGAGAGAGAGAGAGAGTAGAGGAGAGAGAAAAGAGAGAGAGAGAGAGAGAGAGAAGAGAGAGAGAGAGAGAGAGAGAAGAGAGAGAAGAGAGGAGAGAGGAGAGAGAGAGGGAGAGGGAGGGAGGGAGGGAGGGAGGGAGAGAGAGAGAGAGAGAGAGAGAGAGAGAGAGAGAGAGAGAGAAGACAGAGAGAGAATAGAGAGAGAGAAGAGACTGAGAGATGAGAGAGAGAGAGAGAGAGGTGGAAGGACCTTCCCTAGCGGATTTCAACCAAGCGAGAGGGCATCTCCCATCCCCTCTCCCCTTCCACCTTCCTTCTCCCCCTCTTCCTTCCACCTCCTACCCCTTCCCCTCCCACCTCCACCCCTCCCCTCCCACCCCTCCACCACCTCCCCTCCACCTCCCCACCTCCTCCTCCACCACCTCTACCTCCACTTCCCCCAAAAAACCCACCTGCCTTGCACGGTCCCTCACCGCCACGAAGAGCTCGGGGTTGTCTGCCGTCTTCTCCAGCAGGTGGCAGAGGGTCTCGTAGGTCACGTCGTCGGAGCCGCAGACCTCGCCCTCGCTGTCGCACTCGCAGACAGCCCTCGACCGAGTCCTGTAGGGTTAAAAGGGTGAGATGTTGGTTTGATGGAGGGGGGAGAGGGAGGTGGAGGTGGGGGGAGGGGAAGGTGGGAGGGGGTGGAGTGGGGTAGGGGGAGGGGAGGAGGAGGAGAGGAGGGGGAGGGGTAGGGGGTAGGAGGAGGAAGAGAAGAAGAAAGAGGAGGAAGGGAGATGGAGAAGAAAATGTAGAAGAAGAAGGATGAGAATGAGGGAAAGGGAAGAAGAAGAAGAGGAAGAAGAAGAAGAAGAAAAAGAAGAAGGAGGAGAAGGCGGAGGAGGAGACGGAAGAGGAATAGAAGAAGGAGGAGGAGGAGAAGACGGAGGAGAGGGGAAGAAAGAGAAGAGGAAGAAAAGAAGGAGGAGGAGGAGGAGAGGGAGGAGAGGAAGAGAGGAAGAGAAAGAAGAAGGAGGAGAAGTAGAGAAGGAGGAGGAGGAGGAAGACGGAGGAATAGAAGAGGGAGGAAGGAGGAGGAGGAGGTGGAGGAGGGGAAGAAGGAGAAGAGGAAGAGAAGAAGAAGGAGAAGGAGGAGGGGAAGAAGGAGAAGAGGAAGAGAAGAAGGAGAGGAGGAGGAGGGAAAGAAAGTGAAAAAAAGATTTCCCCAAAGCAGAAATACTTGACACAAAACAGCCTTCAACTTTGTTCTAACGATTTCAAACGAAAAGACAAGAAAATTAAGAAAATAAGGCTAGTGCGTCTCATCTTAGAATTCACTAGAAATAAATAAGACGAAAATCCTGTGACTTAGAAATTCGCTAAAAATAGATCTGCAAAAATTGTGTCGACGAAAAGCCAACTTAGGTTATGGGACGAAAAGTTGTATGACGTGGGACTCAGAGCATAAAACTTCATCTTTCCATATTTGGAAGTGTAATTGTGATGGAGAAGGAGGAGGGGCGTGTGTGGGGACATATGTATGTATGTGTGTATGTAGCCTATGTATACATGTATGTATGTATGTATGTATCTACATATATTTGTCTATCTCTATCTATATGCATATGCATATACATAGTTTACACACACACACACACACACACACACACACACACACACAACACACACACACACACACACACACACACATACATACACACATACACACACATATACACACCATACTTTCAACACATGGCGAGAAGATCGAGGCGTGTGCAAAAGCGAGCAAAATGGAGAAGCGAGAGAGAAGAAAAAGTGTGAGGGGAGTGAAGAGAAACGACAGTGAGGGGAGAGAAAGAGAGGAGATTTTGGAGTGTAGGAGGGAAGCGAAAGAGGGGTGGGGGGGGGGGAGAACAGGGAGAGGGAGGTGGGGGAAAGGCTGGGTAAGGGGGGGGGGAGGCACTCTGTTGGTGGGCACTGAGAAGGCACTGTCCCGGTGTTGCCATCGCGATGCCCCTGTATTACACCAACCCGTCTCTTAGGCATAAAACGTAATCTAAAAAGCCTCACAAGAGACAAAACACACCGCATCTAATCGACCCAAAATACCTCCATAAAAATATAAAACCCTCAAACACCTAAGCTGACGCAGACAGAAGAGAAATAAATAACAATAATAAAAGACTAACCCCCCGCCTGTGGCAACCCCTCCCTCCCTCATCGCTTTTCCCGCCACGTCACCCAAACCGAGAGGTCGCCGGCACAAAATTTTCGGCGAATAAAACATTTTAACCCCGCGCCGTACCTCCATTCCTTAATATCTCCCCCTCCTCCCCCTCAAATAAAAAAAGAGGCGCGTTTCTTCCCACTCGACAATCACTTGAGGGATTATGATTGAATTTAATAAAGATATCTTGTAAGAAAGTTCAAAGACGCGCTGAGGGTGAAGAAGGCGAGCTAACTCAGCCCTGACTCTGCTTCTCTATACTAACGTCTTTATATCTCCACATACACTTTTTAAAATAAATTATGTTTCGTATTTTTACATATATCTTTACATACCCTTTTTAAAAATATAATCTAAATTTTGTTTCGTATTTTTACATATATCTTTACATTATAAATACAATGTAAATTATGTTTTGTATTTTTACATTATCTTTATATACACCGTTTAAAATATAATCTAAATTTTGTTTCGTATTTTTACATATATCTTTACATTATAAAATATAATCTACCTTATTTTTCGTATTTTTACATATTTCTTTTTATTTTACAATCGTATTTTTACATATATTTATATACACCTTTTAAAATACAATCTAAATTATGTTTCGTATTTTTACATATATCTTTACATACACCTTTTAAAATACAATCTAAATTATGTTTCGTATTTTTACATATATCTTTACATACTTTATAATATATAATCTAAATTATATTTTCGTATTTTTACATATATCTTTACATACTCTCTCAATTATTTTACTCTCAGTCTTTCCATACAATCCGAATAATTTTCTGAATAATTTTACACAATTCAATATATCTTTCCATACAATCTAAATTATTTTACATATTCGTTTAAAAAGTAACTAGGCAAAAAATACGTTAACTTGAGAGCACTTTAAAATCATGTATTTTTTTGGGATTATTTCCATTGTTATTTATTTGTCTATTTCTCGAGATTATTTCATAAGCGATGTTCTAAATCTGTTTTTCGTGTCTGAAATTCGTAGTTCTCCTGTGTTGATTTCTCTTTTCTTCTGCCTGTTCTTGTTCTTTGTTCTTGTTCTTCTCCTTCTTGTTCTTTTTTTTTTCGTCTTCTTCTTCATCATCATCATCTCCTTCTCCTTCTTCTTTCTTCATCATCATCTTTCTTCTTCTTCTTCTTCTTCTCCTTCTTCTATTTTTCTTCTTCTTCGTCGTCGTCATCATCATCATCAACATCATCATCTCCCTATCCTCTCCTCCTCCACTCCACCACCCTCCACCTCCACCACCACCACCACCTCTCCCTCCACCAACTCTCCCTCCTCCAACTCCACCACCACCACCTTCTTCAACAAAACATCTTGTGTAAAGAATATCTCCAACACCAGATGTCACCACCGAATATATGTAGACAAAATAGGCAATAAATGAGGAATGAAGAGCAAGAACCGATAAATAAAGAAATAAAGAAAAAAAAAAATCAATATCTATTATAATTTTCTATATAAACGTTTTATTGATGATGATAATGATGATGAAGTGATGATGATGATGATGATGACAGCGATAATAACGGTTACAGCAGTGACAAAAATGCTAGTAGTAGTAATGATAATAATAATAATGATAACGATAACCATAATATGATAACAATAATGATAATAATAGTAATAATGATAATAAAATGTAATGTAATGATGACAATAATAATAATAATAATAATAACAACAACAACAGTGATAATGATGATGTGATGATAATAAGAACAACAACAACAATGATGACAATAAAAAAAACCGTTAACACTAACAATAATAATAATAACATCACCAAAGAAAAAATACATAAAAACCCACACAACAAAACAACAAAAAACAGACCACTCCCACACCGATTACAACCGAAAGAGATGGCTCAAAAGAGATTCATAATTTAATAAGATGTAATAGCCTTTGCCACATCTGCTGCACATCTTTTAGCTGAACTGAAACCGGCGCGGATAGATGGCGCCACGGATGCCCCGCCCCTTCTTTTGTTTCTATATAAAAAATATGATAATAATGCCGTAATTATCATTATCATACGTGTTTTAATCGTTATTTTTGTTATTGAAGCTGTTAGATGTTATATACTCTTGGAAGAATGAAAAATGAATGAAAATAAGGATAGATGTGATGATGTAGCGTGTGCTTTATCGTCGTTATCCCTGTTATTAAATCTATTCGATGTTATGAGCTCTTAGAAGAATGAAAATTCATTAAAAAAATTAAAAAAAGAATGTTTGACCCTACTTATTCTTATTATGAAATCTATTAGATATAAAAGACTCTTTTGGAAGAATGAGGAATGAATGACAATAAAGATAAAAATGATATAAACGTGTTTTATCGTCGTTATCCCTTCTCTCAAACCTATTAGATACTAAAGAGATGAAAAAACGAATTAAAATAAATATTAAATAAATGATACAGCATGTGTTTCACCATCGTTATCTTTCATCAAATCTCTGACATACAATAGACTCTTTTGAAAGAACGAAAAATGAAAAAAAGAACTTAAAATAAGCTAAAATAAGACGAAATACGTATCCGCTTTTCAAATAACTTCCCCAGCCATGTGTTTAGGTTATCTGTAAACAAACAGGCCCGACCCATGTCTGCCTTGGGGGGATGTGAACAAAAAGTAGGGCGCAGTGTGGAACAGGGAGGGAGAGGGGAAGGGAGGGAGGGGGAGGGGAAGGGAGGGGAGAGGGAGGGGGAGAGGGGAGAGGGAAGAAGGGAGGGGAGGAGAGAGGGAGAGGGGAAAGGAGATGGAAGGGAGGGGAGGGAAGGGAAGAGAGGGAAAGGAAGAGGCGGGGAGGGGTAAGGAGATGGAATGGAGGGGAAGGGGAAAGGAGGAGAAAAGGAAGAGAAAGGAGAGGGGAAAGGAGATGGAATTGAGGGGAAGGGAGAGGAGGGAGTGGGGAAAAGGGGGGAGGGAGAGGGGAAAGAAGGAGAGGGAGAGGGGAAAAGGAAGAGGCGGGGAGGGGAGGGGAGGGGAAGGGAGGGAGGGATAGGGAAAAGGAAAGGGAAAAGAGGAGAAGAAGGGAGAGGTTAAAAGAAAGGAGGGAGGAGAGGAGATGAAAAGGGAGGGTGGTTGTAGGGAGGGGGTAGGGGAGGGGGGAGAGGGGGAAAAGGAGGGGAGAGAGTGGGGAAAAGGTGGAGGGGAAAGGAGAGGGGAAGTAAACGAAGGAGAAAAGGAGAAGTTGAAGAAGAAGGAATAATAATAATAATAATAAGAAGAAGATGGGAGGAAGGGAGAATTGCCGAGTGAGAGGTAAAAAAAGGAAAATAGAGGAAGGGAAAAAGGAGAGGAAACAGAAAGACAGAAAGAAGGGAAAAGAAGGGGAAAGAAAGGAG